ATGAGCATACAATATAGCTCATTATTTGAATTTATGTTAAGGTCTTTTTTGCTAATCTTTCTCAAGGGTGCCAATAATGTTGGACCTGACTGTATATTTTATATGCAAAATATTTCTAATGAATTAAACTTCATTTTGAACTTAACACAACTTGTCACATTCCTGGCAATCAGTTTAGCTGCTTTTATGATACCAACTCAAATCAATCAAAAGTTGTGTTAGATGTTTATACCACCACTAAAACAAATATAGTGGATAATTTAACAATAAAAATGTTTAACAACGACAGTAGTTGCACATTCAAAACAGGGGAAAATGTCTACCCTATAAGTCAAAGAACACTCTAGCTAGCCTGACTGCTCCCAATGGAGTTGAAGTGATAATTGGTTGCAGATATACAGTACAGACAGAGAGACAACCTTTGGCCTCTTCTTATGAGCCACATGGAAGATGTGCAGTGAACGGGCCACTGCTAACAGTAAACTGCAGTATCAGAAGACCTGGCAGTCTGAACTAATGCCCTGACTCATTCTCACACACACTCGAGTGCACTTGCATACACACGAGCCACACACTCACTCAGGCACACACACTCACACATACACACTCACACTGGCAACGGGACTGAGGGATCAGTCTTTCCAAAGCACTTTGTTAGATCGCCATCCAAGAGGACTGGGAAAGAAGTCTGGGAATGGAGCATGGCTGTGGGGTGATCGGGGGAGGGAGGGGTGGGGGATGACATTCTGTTTAGATTTGTTTGCTGTGTGTCTGATATCTGTGTAATTGCGTCCTTTATCTTGCCATATAAAGCCACATTGCAATTTATGTGAGTTAATCTGACACTATTGATTAAGAAAACAGAGATTTAGATCAACATAATTTAGGAATAACTCAATAAAGGAGCATGTAGTTAAGATATTGTTTGCCAAAGTGGCTCTCAGTATTTGAGGAATGGCCCACATTACATTCACAGAACTAGTGGCAGCAGTGCCAAACTGAACTTGTTCTGATTCATGACCTCAACTCATAAGCATGAACTAACTTGACAGTTACTCTCTTTCTGTGGCAATTGTTCCTCCATTTAGACCGTGTGAAGTCAGTGTTACTCAATCCTGCCTTTGGCACTGTTGATGTACTATGGTGTTGACGTAGCCTTCTATGGTGTTGACGTAGCCTACTATGGCTAGGCCTAGTATATAACCCACTGTGTGCTGGTGGGGGGTTGGAGACCTGGCAGACGACTCAGCCAAACCCAGGTAGGAGGCTGTTCCCAGACAGAATAAATCAGCCTCTCTGCGACTGGGAGGCCAAACAAGATGGCCGCCGGCTCCACAGGAGCCAATATGGCCGACGTGACTCAGGTATCTGAAGGATGACTTCAGAGCCTGGCCATGATGCCAGGGCGAACCATTATAGAACACCCATATTTCCTGCTTTTTAGGGCAGGCGAAGGGGAATGTGAAGGGTTAGGTGGGATTCTGCGTCGTCTGCCAAAGGTAAAAGCTGAATTTATGGTGCTGTTCATTCTAGCAGTTACATGCACACAGAGTAGACAGTGAACACAATCTGCTAGAATGGTTACTTACACTGTCTGAGTTATATTAGTGGGGGTAAGACTGTAATCCATTCTGCATGGCCTCAACTCAACTATGCTGGATGAATCTGCTGTCAGAGAACCAGCTAGGAGAGAGGCTGTTGCTGAGAGTTCCAACTCTCTTTGCCCTACAATGCAACTAGGCCCATATTCTAAATGGGGAAAATGATTATTCATCATAATCTGCTGCTGTATTATGGCTTTACATCCCCTGCTATAGCGTGGATCGAGATTTATCTGTCTAACAGAACACAGCAGGTGTTTCTTAATGTAAACTTCTCCAACATAATCCAGGTAGAGTCGGGCATTTACATTTTACATTTAAGTAATTTAGCAGACACTCTTATCCAGAGCGACTTACAGTTAGTGAGGGCATACATTTTCATACTGGCCCCCCGTGGGAAACGAACCCACAACCCTGGCGTTGCAAGCGCCATGCTCTACCAACTGAGCTACAGTTGGGGCATTCCCCAGGGCAGCTGTCTAGGCCCCTTACTTTTTATAATCTTTACTAATGACCTGCCACTGGCTCTGAGTAAAGCCTGTGTGTCTATATATGCTGATGACTCAACATTCTACACGTCAGCTACCACAGCAAGTGAAATCACTGCAACATTTAACAAAGAGATGCAGTAATAAGCTAGTCCTAAATATTTCAAAAACTAAAAGCATTGTATTTGGGACAAATCATTCACTAAATCCTAAACCTCAACTAAATCTTGTAATGAATGATGTGGAAATTGAGCAAGTTGAGGAGACTAAACTGCTTGGTGTAACCCTGGTTTGTAAACGGTCATGGTCAAAACATATTGATGCAACGGTAGCTAAGATGGGGAGAGGTCTGTCCGTAATAAAGCGCTGCTCTGCTTTCTTGACATTGCTATCAACAAAAGTCCTACAGGCCCTAGTTTTGTCGCACCTGGACTACTGCCCAGTCATATGGTCAAGTGCCACAAAAAGGGACATAGGCAAATTACAGCTGGCCCAGAACAGAGCAGCACGTCTGGCCCTTAAATGTACACTGAGAGCTAACATCAATGACATGCATGTCAATCTCTCCTGGCTCAAAGAGTGCGAAAGATTGGCTGCATCACTACTTGCCTTAGTGAGAGTTATTGAGATGTTGAAAGCACCGAGCTGTCTGTTCAAACGACTAGCACACAGCTCAGACACCCATGCATACCCCACAAGACATGCCACCAGGGGACTCTTCACAGTCTCCAAGCCCAAAATGGACTCAGGAAAATGCACAGTACTACACAGAGCCATGACTACATGGAACTCTATTCCACATCAAGTAACTCATGCAAGCAATAACATAAAACTACACCTTATGGAACAATGCGGACTATGAAGAGACACACACACACACACACACACACACACACACACACACAGGCATACGCACACACACGCCAGAACACTCACTCTACACACACGCTGTATGTACGGTGGTATTATAAATGTTGTATTGTAGATATGTAGTGATGTAATAATGTTTCATTTTATTTTTGTCTTAATTTGTTTGGCAGGACCTAATGGGAATCCATAATAAATACCAATACAAATACAGGCTCCAGTTATTAACATACACAGTCACACAAAAACACAGTCACACACAGTCACATTCACGCCGCATGCACACATAAGCACTTGTGCACCCACACACAGAAAAATGTACATACACACATACAAACACACACCAACACACAGTTTGGCATAAGACTACTGTAAGGGGACACCTTGGGCCAGGACAAACATTTATTTATCCCGGAGTCATGCTGTGTGGTGGGACGCAGCGCTAGCTGAAGATTGATACTGGTGTCTAGTGCAGTGCATTAAACACCACGTCCAGGCCTCATACTGAGACCAGGGGGCCCGCTGCTCTCACAGAGCTACCCTGAGATGTTAAGACTCCCCTGATTCTGTCTGACGTGGCATGGAATTTACAACACACAGCAGAGGAGAGACGCAAAACGGACCAGGAATGGCTAACGGTTTATGTACATGAAAAAGACGGGATGGGGGAGTACACTATGGAGACCTGGCAAAACCTCCAAACTGTGTTGAATAAGACAGCAACTAACTCTCTATCAGAGTCGTTGTGGTTTTGATAAATAACAGTTTATATACATGAAAAAAGGAAACTTCCTACACTATTGGCAAAACGGTTGTAGTTACCAAAATAGAGGTGGATAAAACTGAAAATTAATCTGATGAAGGATATTTCGAGGATAATTTGATCTGCATCTCACCAACCTAATCTTACATTTGACATTTTAGTCATTTAGCAGACACTCTTATCCAGAGCGACTTACAGTTAGTGAGTGCATACATTATTTTTATTTTATTTTTCATACTGGCCCCCCGTGGGAATCGAACCCACAACCCTGGCGTTGCAAACGCCATGCTACATCCCTGCCGGCCATTCCCTCCCCTACCCTGGACGACGCTGGGCCAATTGTGCGCCGCCCCATGGGTCTCCCGGTCGACAGAGCCTGGATCTTCAGTTGAATCTGAATCTGAAACACTACAGTAGAAAACTAAGGTCATCCCTGTTCCTGTTTCTAACCTTTCCTATTCAGCAGCATGTGATTTCAATACAATGAATATCAACTCAACACCAGACTTGCTCTGCCAATGAATTCTGATGCAGTCTGTTTATTGGAAACAAATGGGGGATGTATGTATTTATATAGCTCAGTAATCAGCCTAGGTCCTGGGGCTATGGCTGTGACTATGACTGTGACAGGGGGAGAGTACAGCTGGCTCAAATGGGAAGCAGGTGTGTCTAAGAGGGACTGGGTTACATTTCCCAGGCCCATCGGAAACAGGGGGAAAGGGAAACTGGCCAAAGAGTGGCGGCCATTTTGTGACACCGTAGCCGTGAGGCAGGAAATGTGAAATGTGGGAATGTGTCGTGTGGTGCCTGAGGGTTGTTAATGGGGCTAGGACTGGGAGAATGTCCGCCCTCCTGCTATGTTGAACCAGCACTAAGACCTGATAGGACTCGACATGGGAGCCCAGGATCAAAGAGACTTGTCTGGACTGGAGGAGAGGAGAGGTTGGAGGAGAAATGGAAGGAAAGAGCCTTTGACCTGGCACTTCCTAGGCTAGAAGTGTGTGTGTGTGTGTGTGTGCACGCATGTGTGTGTGCATGCATGTGTGTGCATGTGTGTGTGTGTGTGTGTGTGCGTGAGGGGTTTGTAGACGTGTATTGCCTGAGGCAGACAGGCCTCAGACCGCAGAGCTGGACTTCAGAGAGCAGACCACTGTCATGATGAAGCACAGATACTCTCCCAGACCAGTAGAACAGGACAGAGAGAGGCAGCCCACTCCATTCTTTGTCTAGAACTAAGCACCTCATGTGGAGTTACTTGATGAAGGTCAAAACGTGTGTACACTAGGCTTTCCAACAAAACATTAAAACAGTTCCAAGCTTAATGAAATAACTTTGTCCCTCTATATCAGTGGGTTCCTTTACCCTGATGTTCTCCTCCACCTCCATGTGTCCCAGCAGCTTTCCGTTGATGGAGAAGAAGCAGAAGTGTCCCTTGTCGTAATAGACTACGGCGTGGCCCTCTGTAGAGGACTGGATGAGACGGGGCTGCACGCAGCCCCCCGGGCCCTCCAGGGTCCGCAGCAGGTCCCCATTCATGGAATGGATCAGACACGGGCCCTCTGTGAGTGGAGGAATATAGAAGTTACTAACTAGGCTCTGATTTCCACTGATTCACTCAAGGGTTTTCATAATAATACAATTATAATAGGGTAATTTCTTCTTCTTTTAAATCCAAAGCGATTTACAGAACTGTCTATATTGACAATATGAGTTTGTTCAGTATTGAAAGGGTTCACTGTTCTGACATTCATATTATCAGTCTGACCAAGATCTAAGTTACTTTGATGCCTTGGTTGATCCACACACATACTAACCTTTGCAGCCACTGATAACCAGTCCCAGCTCGGCACACACACTGGCGCAGGTCACCTCACAGTCATGACCCGTCAGGATGGCTCTGGGCGTCACAAACTCAGCTGGGGAATAACACACAAACGCACATTAGCCAATGGAAATCAGGTGTGGGCATGTTCATTTTATAGCCACTGGAGGGCGGTAAATCCACACAATAATTTTTCTATAAGTCATAATGTCTCAGAATGTGATGCTTGGTGGTAGACCCACTCTAAGACCATACATTTCACCACATAGAAATGAATCTTCAGAAATGAATGGCACGATATTGTCAGAGTGTGTGCTCCGGCTATAAAACAATGTGAAGGGGCAGAGTGATTCTGATGAGCTCTCATCATGACTGTCAGTGGTTGTAGCCACTGGGTGTGTGGGTGGGTGAGAGAACTGGTCCTTATTTAAGAGTGGGCGGCTATGTGGTGGACTCACTGGAACAAGAGCATAGTAGCTGCCAAAACAAGGAGAAGACTACTATTCTATAATAATATAATTATTCTTCATCAGAGAGACCCAGACCAAAACACACACTCCCAACTCACCCCCCCCCCCCCCCCCCCCCACCCACCTACCTACTCACCCACCCCTCAGCAAACAGGCAGGACTCCAGTGATAGCATCTCCACTCTCTCTCCAACACTTGTCACTAACAGTCTCCCTCTTCCTTTAACACACTGTACTCCCCCAGAAGAACCTAACCACCTCCAGATGCCTCCAGACAAGAGACTGGGCTCTGATACCGTCCTTTAGGAAATGCGACGGAGGAGAGGAGAAGAGAGAGAAGAGAAGAAAAGAGAGAGAGACGTGCCAAAAAGAACAGCCCATCATTCACATGCGTTGGGCTGAGCCGTCAGAGACAGAGCCCAAACAAGTGTTCTGCCCTGGGTTAGCTCCAACCAATCAACACCACCTCTCCTGCCAATACTGGTACTGCCTACTGTTGGATATACCACAATGTTGACCACTACATCAGTCAGTGATGACTCTTGTTAAGTAGATACAGCCAATGCAGAGGAGACAGAGAAGAAAGAGTCAGACCTTACCCCCCCTCACCCTTCCTCCCTCCCTCCCTCCCTCCCTCCATCTCTCCCTCTCTCTGAGGGATAGTAAAGTCTGCCTGCCACTTTGTGGTGCTTTACAGGAGCCAGGTTGCTGCACTGATAATATTGGTGTTTAACAGGGGGTCCCAGCTGACCCCTGCTCCCTTTGATGTGGGGTGAGAGGTCAGAGGTCATAGTAAAGCTGCTAAAGCACTGTCCCACAGTCAGTCCCACACTGCAGTTCATTAGGAGTTCACTATCAGACAGAGGGCGTCCTAATGCCACGTCTCACACGGTGCCCTGGGTCTTCTCAAACAGAGGAGAGGACAGGGTCAAGTTCAACTACAGCAGGAGACAGACAGACAGACAGCACTTCAAGAAGGAAGTCATAGAAATGGAAAAGCTAGAATGGACATGGTTGTTAAATACCAAATTGTTTTACATGGGAGCCACCAACTTTGCTGATCCCTGAGGACTGGAATAGCACGTTCTGAGGAATTATGTTGTAGAGAGCATACCTAGGAGACAGCTGACAAGGTTAACCATTGATGTGCCTCTTTCACTACCCCTTTTCCCACTATGTAGCTATTGTGCAAACCAACAAGCGTTCGTATACATTTGAGTATTTTGACTGCACATTTAACAACTTCACTCCCTAATTGAATTAGACTTGGAAAGTTTAACTCAATACACATAAATTATTGACTCTTGAACTTTCGGGAGTAAAAACACAACGTGTGTAAATCTTTCATTAGTGCAGACTCCTCCGATACACTAACTGCCTTCAGCTTGGTGGTTAGTAACCCTAAACACAGTAAAGTAAAGGCAGAAAGTTCCGGAAGTTCCATACCTCCACTGACCTCCCTTGCAAAGTAAAAAGGCTCCTGGTATGATGGACAACCCCTTTAAGTTCATTTCAGTGAAATATTTTAACGGCTTTTAAAGGCCCAGGCAGGCACCCTGATGACTCTGTGTGTGTGTCTGCCAGCCTCCCTGATGACTTTCCAACTTCGTTCCACCAGGCTGATACCGTGGCCACAACAGGCCAACAGGTCATGACCTCTCCATGTATAGATTTCATTAAGTTAACTGGCAAACATCCTAAACGTCAAAAACGCTGATTTATGCCCTACAACGGCGAGGATTAAAGCGTGATGTCGGATTTTGCCCGCGGAAGATCAATAAAACTGATACATTGGTGTATCGTTTAACCTTTGAGCTGCTCGCCACCATTTGGTTTGCATTAGGGAGACATCTGATTACAATCTAATACATATAACCAACGCTGCTAACGTGTGTGTGTGTGTGTGTGTGTAGACTGAGAAGAGTATCATTTACCTGGGGAAAGAGAAATGTGTGTGTGTGTGCTACTGAGAGAGAAAAAATATATAATTTCAGCTGTTGTTCACTGAATTATTATCTAGAGGCTACTTCCTCAATGTATCTTTATTAAAAAGTAATGTGGTGGGAGAAGACCCATAAGCCTGTGTGCTCTACCATTGAGCCACCAGAGGTCAGTATAGTATGCAGAATCCCCTCCCACTGTGCATGCTCTCTACTGCTCTTCACTCACACAGAGAAGAGTGTACGGAGTGGGCACTGATTGTGTAGATGTTTGTGTGTGTGTAGCATGTGTGTGTGCAAATGTACGATTTGGATACTGCAGACACATTTGGCACAGAGAAGGCTAATCTGTGTCAGCCAGCAGCTAAACAGGAACTAGCGTGTGTGTTTGTGTGTGTGTGTGTGTGTTTGTATGGGGGCTGAACTTGAAAGCACTGTGTTTGGCGGGAGAATAAAGGAATCTCTGGTGTGTGTGTGTGTGTGTGGTTAGCAGACCCTGCTGCGGTCTAGAGCAATGGAGCATCATATTGTGGTGGTGGGCCGGTCTGATTAAAGTCCTGCTGCTAATACTCACTGCTGCACCATGCAGACTCTGGCTGAGGCAGGCTGCAGAATAACAGATGCGCGCACACACACACACACACACACACACACACACACACACACACACACACACACTCTGACACAGAGAAAGAGACAGACAGAGAGATGGACAGAGAGACGGACAGAGACAGAGAGAGAGACAGACACATAGACAGACACAGAGACAGACACAGACACAGACTTGATTCACACAAACTACTCTGTACACCATGCAGGCTGGCTCAGGCTGAGGCCAAAGAATAACAGATTCACATATACAGATACAGTGCCTTCAGAAAGTATTCACACCCCTTGACTTTTTCTACATTTTGTTGTGTTACAGACTGAATTTAAAATTGATTACATTTAGATGTGTGGAATTATGTTTATCAACATTTTTACAAATGAAAAGCTGAAATGTCTTGATTCAATAAGTAGCCCTTTGTTATGGCAAGCCTAAATAAGTTCAGGAGTAAAAATGCTTAACAAGTCACACAATAAGTTTTATGGGCTCACTCTGTGTGCAATAATAGTGTTTAACATGATTTTTAAATGACTACCCGATCTCTGTACCCCACACATACAATTATCTGTAAGGTCCCCCAGTCGAGCAGTGAATTTCAAACACCGATTCAACCACAAAGACCAGGGAGGTTTTCCAATGCCTCGCAAATAAGGGCACCTATTGGTGAATAAAAATAAAAAGATACAGGTGTCCTTCCTAACTCAGTTGCCGGAGAGGAAGGAAACCGCTCAGGGATTTCACCATGAGGCCAATGGTGACTTTAAAACAGTTACAAATGTTTAATGGCTGTGATGGGAGAAAACTGAGGATGGATCAACAACATTGTAGTTACTCCACAATCCTAACCTAATTGACAGAGGGAAAATAAGGACGCCTGTACAGAATACAAATATTCCAAAACATGCATCCTGTTTGCAACAAGGCACTAAAGTAATACTGCAAAAAAATTGGCAAAGCGATTAACTTGTTGTCCTGAATACAAAGTATTATGTTTGGGGCAAAACTAATACAACACATTACTGAGTACCACTCTCCATATTTTCAAGCATAGTGGTTGCTGCATCATGTTATGGGTATGCTTGTAATTGTTAAGGACTGGGGTGTTTTTCAGGATAAAAATAATTGGAATGCATAGGCAAAATCCTAGAGGAAAACATGGTTCAGTCTGCTTTCCACCAGACACTGGGAGACAAATTCACCTTCCAGCAGGACAATAACCTAAAACACAAGGCCAAATATACACTGGAGTTGCTTACCAAGACATTGAATGTTCTTGAGTGGCTGAGTTACAGTTTTGACTTAAATCTACTTGAAAATCTATGGCAAGACCGGAAAATGGTTGTCTGGCAATGATCGACAACCAATTTGACAGAGCTTGAAGAATTCTGAAAAGAACAATGGGAAAATGTTGCACAATCCAGGTGTGGAAAGCTCTTAGAGACTTACCCAGAAAGACTCACAGCTGTAATCACAGCCAAAGGTGCTTCTACAAAGTATTGACTTAGGGGTGTAAATACTTATGTAAATTAGATATTATATATTAATTTTAAATACATTTGCAAAAATTTCTAAAAACATGTTTTCAATTTGTCATTATGAGGTATTGCGTGTAGATGGGTGAGAAACATTTTTTTGAATCCATTTTGTATTCAGGCTGTAACAACAAAATGTGGAATAAGTCAAGGGGTATGAATACTTTCTGAAGGCACTGAAGTACACACACACTTTATACAAACACACACACACACACACTAGATTCACTACTAGACTGTACACCATGCAAACTGGCACTGGCTGAGGCAGGAGAATGACAATGTACATATCGACACAGATACCCTACTCCTAAGACAACCGCCCCATTCAATCAAACCTGCCAACCTTAAAGTCATGAGTAGCCAATGTGGAATTGGGGATTCATAAGGCACACACATCATTTAATGTGTGTGGAATGTAATCATATTTTCTTCTTTGATCTATTGGTACAAATTAACATCCCACAGTATGCATGTTTTATAAATTAAATGTAAATGTATACTGATTGTACTCAGAGTGATGTAATCATCCATGTGTGACGTAATAACCTCATATGGTAATTGATTATAAATCAAATGATTGATATAATTTAGAATTAACCGAATATGCGGGCCAATGGTAATTTACACTTCAGAAACAAGGAATACTTCTTGACTGCTAAATCACAAAATATCATCCAAATAACAAAAAAACACAAGTCTGTATTTTGTAACTTCAGCAACATGCCCACTTCCCATAGGCCTATAATGTTATTTTACTTTATTTTAGTTTTAGAAACACCTCTTGGTAAATTCCACTTGTGGTGGGAAAGACTACGACATCCACATCCAAAACACCAGATGAGGTCAGTGACACGCCACCGTCTAACGTTCCGTCTTTCAAATCAACAGATCAACAACCGATGTGTCTTATTAACCAAATCACAATTTGTCATAAATTGCAGTCCATTTGTAGCAGAGCACTTAACAGCATGTAAGGGTCTCTAAGCTAGCCAAATTAGCACCATGGAGGCAGTGACGCTCACTGCTCTGTGCGGTGTGTTTAGTCCTTTGATCATCATGGTCCATGCCATATGTTATGGTAAAAGTAAGAGCTGGAAGGGGCGGCCCGCGACGGCAACGTTTTTCACTTTTCATGACTATTCTAACCCCACATCAGATGGATGGCGGTGGGCTTTCATGTGACCAGCGACCCCCACGTCACGTTTATCGTCTTTAAGTGGCCCTCGTACTCTCACTTTCACTCACACACACATGGAGGGACGACATGCTCTCTCTGTGTGTTCGTGCACGCGCGCACACACACTAACTTTTTCTCACACACACACATTAGAGCGAGAGCCCATTTCTTGACAATAGTCAGTGCCCTGAAATCCAATCTGTGTGCAGGAGACCTAGAGTGGTCAGATGAAACGAGACCTAGAGTGGTCAGATGAAACGAGATGTTACTTTACAGACTGGGGCCGTAAATACAGTCAGACCTGTCTCTGAGAGAGAGGGTTCTGGGCAACAGTGTGTGTGTGTGTGAGATATGGGGTGTGGTGGGGGGGAGCACTTGAAAATCACAAACCTCGCACACACCACCCTGCCTCAATGGTGTCCGCTGCTTGTGGAACCCCTGTAATGATTTGATTGTGATCTAATATGAGGATTGAGGAGGGTACGGCTAGGTTTTTATTTATTTTATTTAACCTTTATTTAACTAGGCAAGTCAGTTAAGAACACATTCTTATTTACAATGACACCCTGGCCAAAACCAGACGACGCTGGGCCAATTGTGCACCGCCCTCTGGGACTCCCGATCACGGCCGGATTGTGATGCAGCCTGGAATCGAACCAGGGTCTGTAGTGACGCCTCTAGCACTGACATGCAGTGACCGCTGCGCCACTCGGGAGCCCAAGGTTGCTGCAGCCAGTTAGAAGAATGTCCCAGCACTTACTAGCAGGGTTCTGATTGGGGTATACTAGGCTGCGTTTACACAGGCAGCCCAATTCTGATTGTTTGCCCAATTATTGGCAAAAGAGCTGATCTGATTGGTCAAAAGACCAATTAGTGAAGAAAAAAAAATCAGAATTGGGCTGCCTGTGTAAACGCAGACTTACTCTCCGTGTTACTGTAGGATATTTTCCACCTAGCATAGGAAGTGTACTTACTTCCGGGGTTCTCTCCGATGCTGCTGTGTTTTCCGTTCCAGTACCAGAGCAGCAGCGTGGCGTCTCTGGAGCCTGACAGGACGTAGCAGTCCCCTCCGATGTACGACTCAGACCTGGCCAGACACGTCACCACGTCACGGTGACCAAACACTATCTGGGTCAGCTTTCCTGGAAACACACACACACACAATATAAACCACAGCCCTCTGATTTTTATTCTAGTTATGAAATATTAAAATATGGTGGCAATATATTTTATAGTACTCCATTTACTCTATTTGGCACTTGACATACAAGCAACACAATATGCTGTAATACTACTGTAAATTAAGTGCTATCAACAACACTAATGGTAAACGTTCTAAAATAACATTTATAAAACATCTGTCATTAACATAAAATGTCTCAATATAATATTCCATCATATAAATTATCTACTTGCAAACAAATGTGCTGGGCAAAAAATATACTCTATGAACCAGTAATATACCTAGTTGTTGCATGCGTCTACTGTCTGTTAACTATTCTACACGGACTAATAACAACTAGTAACAACAAGATAACTCATACTCGTAAAACATACTGTGTCCATAATAAGTATATAGGTTATAGGTTGAGAACCTTTGTGAAAGAGCACAGTTTGAAAGATATGGCATATAGAAGCAAACCGGATGGACATCATGAAATTATCGGAGAGGTTGAGGGTAGAGGAAGTTCAGGAGTAAAAACAAACAAAATATAACTATTGTAAAAATTGACAGTGTCCATAAAATGTATATAGTATGTATAAGCTGGAAGTAAAGGCCTAAGGGTTGTTGTTCACTAGTTTACTCCAATTAGGGGAGGGGTGGTAGGGTTGGAAAGTAACAAAGGAAAATATATTTTTAAAAAGGATGTGTATATATACAGTGGGGAGAACAAGTATTTGATACACTGCCGATTTTGCAGGTTTTCCTACTTACAAAGCATGTAGAGGTCTGTAATTTTTATCATAGGTACATTTCAACTGTGAGAGACGGAAAAATCCAGAAAATCACATTGTATGATTTTTAAGTAATTAATTTGCATTTTATTGCATGACATAAGTATTTGATCACCTACCAACCAGTAAGAATTCCGGCTCTCACCGACCTGTTAGTTTTTCTTTAAGAAGCCCTCCTGTTCTCCACTCATTACCTGTATTAACTGCACATGTTTGAACTCGTTACCTGTATAAAAGACACCTGTCCACACACTCAATCAAACAGACTCCAACCTCTCCACAATGGCCAAGACCAGAGAGCTGTGTAAGGACATCAGGGATAAAATTGTAGACCTGCACAAGGCTGGGATGGGCTACAGGACAATAGGCAAGCAGCTTGGTGAGAAGGCAACAACTGTTGGCGCAATTATTAGAAAATGGAAGAAGTTCAAGATGACGGTCAATCATCCTCGGTCTGGGGCTCCATGCAAGATCTCACCTCGTGGGGCATCAATGATCATGAGGAAGGTGAGGGATCAGCCCAGAACTACACGGCAGGACCTGGTCAATGACCTGAAGAGAGCTGGGACCACAGTCTCAAAGAAAACCATTAGTAACACACTACGCCGTCATGGATTAAAATCCTGCAGCGCATGCAAGGTCCCCCTGCTCAAGCCAGCGCATATCCAGGCCCGTCTGAAGTTTGCCAATGACCATCTGGATGATCCAGAGGAGGAATGGGAGAAGGTCATGTGGTCTGATGAGACAAAAATATAGCTTTTTGGTCTAAACTCCACTTGCCGTGTTTGGAGGAAGAAGAAGGATGAGTACAACCCCAAGAACACCATCCCAACTGTGAAGCATGGAGGCGAAAAAAATCATTCTTTGGGGATGCTTTTCTGCAAAGGGGACAGGACGACTGCACCGTATTACATACTGGTAGCCAGAATCGTTCAAGGGAATTCAGGACATGGGTGACTAGTTAACGTTAGCTTGGCTCTCTCTGTGTGTTCGTGCCGTGGGAGGACGGGTTTCATCGTTGGCAGAAAGCAATGGCTAGCTAGTATGCTAACTATTCTAGCTAACTAACTGGCTGAATAAGTTGACGACGGACTCGCTCAAGCTGTCGGGACTAACCCACAACGTTAGACACGGACACGAATGATCTGCTTGGCGTGTTGACACACTGGTGGTTTGTTGTGGCCGAGTATTGGTGCTAAACCGTGTTGTTGGAGCCCGGCATGCTAGTTGGTTGTGGCGTCATATGACTAGGTGCCCTGGACGGTTTTCACGGAAGAATACTATACCAAGTTAGCTAGCTGAATAAACGAAGTTAGTCTATTCCTAGAAAACATTGAACCGCTGTAGTTTACAACAATTATAGTTTCTGAGGTGGAAGTTGGGAGAGTTATATTTGGGTGTTTCAGTGAAACGTAAGTGAGGGAGGCCCCGCTCTCTCGCTTTCCCAGATGTTTAGTTCATTTCATTCCGATCTCTTTTGCATTATTGTAGCCATTTTCTGTAGCCTGTCAACTATGCCTCTGTCTATCCCTGTTCTCTCCTCTCCGCACAGGCTATACAAACGCCTCACACCGCGTGGCTGCTGCCTCTCTAACCTGGTGGTCACTGCACGCACGACCCACGTGGAGTTCCAGGTCTCCGGCAGCCTCTGGAACTGCCGTTCTGCGGCCAACAAGGCAGAGTTCATCTCAGCCTATGCTACCCTCCAGTCCCTCGACTTCTTGGCGCTGACGGAAACATGGATTACCACTGAAAACACTGCTACTCCTACTGCTCTCTCCTCGTCTGACCATGTGTTCTCGCATACCCCGAGAGCATCTGGTCAGCGGGGTGGTGGCACAGGAATCCTCATCTCTCCCAAGTGGACATTCTCTCTTTTTCCCCTGACCCATCTGTCTATCTCCTCATTTGAATTCCATGCTGTCACAGTCACTAGCCCATTCAAGCTTAACATCCTTGTCATTTATCGCCCTCCAGGTTCCCTTGGAGAGTTCATCAATGAGCTTGACGCCTTGATAAGTTCCTTTCCTGAGGATGGCTCACCCCTCACAGTTCTGGGTGACTTCAACCTCCCTACGTCTACCTTTGACTCATTTCTCTCTGCCTCCTTCTTTCCAATCCTCTCCTCTTTTGACCTCACCCTCTCACCGTCCCCCCCTACTCACAAGGCAGGCAATACGCTTGACCTCATCTTTACTAGATGCTGTTCTTCTACTAATCTCACTGCAACTCCCCTCCATGTCTCCGACCACTACTTTGTATCCTTTTCTCTCTCTCTCTCCTCCAACACTACTCACTCTGCCCCTACTCAGATGGTAATGCGCCGTCGCAACCTTCGCTCTCTCTCTCCCGCTACTCTCTCCTCTTCCATCCTATCATCTCTTCCCTCAGCTCAATCCTTCTCCCTCCAATCTCCTGATTCTGCCTCTTCAACCCTCCTCTCCTCCCTTTCTGCATCCTTTGACTCTCTATGTCCCCTATCCTCCCGGCCGGCTCTGTCCTCCCCTCCTGCTCCGTGGCTTGACGACTCATTGCGAGCTCACAGAACAGGGCTCCGGGCAGCCGAGCGGAAATGGAGGAAAACTCGACTCCCTGTGGACCTGGCATCTTTTCACTCTCTCCTCTCTACATTTTCTTCATCTGTTTCTGCTGCTAAAGCCACTTTCTACCACTCTAAATTCCAAGCATCTGCCTCTAACCCTAGGAAGCTCTTTGCCACCTTCTCCTCCCTGCTGAATCCTCCTCCCCCTCCTCCCTCTCCTTCTTCTCTGTGGATGACTTCGTCAACCATTTTGAAAAGAAGGTTGACGACATCCGATCCTCGTTTGTTAAGTCAAATGACACTGCTGGTCCTGCTCACACTGCCCTACCCTATGCTTTGACTTCTTTCTCCGCTCTCTCTCCAGATGAAATCTTGCGACTTGTGACGGCCGGCCGCCCAACAACCTGCCCGCTTGACCCTATCCCCTCCTATCTTCTCCAGACCATCTCCGGTGACCTTCTCCCTTACCTCACCCATCAACTCATCCTTGACCGCTGACTATGTCCCTTCCGTCTTCAAGAGAGCGAGAGTTGCACCCCTTCTCAAAAAACCAACACTCGATCCCTCCGATGTCAACAACTACAGACCAGTATCCCTTCTTTCTTTTCTCTCCAAAACTCTTGAGCATGCCGTCTTTAGCCAACTCTCTTGCTATCTCTCTCAAAATGACCTTCTTGATCCAAACCAGTCAGGTTTCAAGACTGGTCATTCAACTGAGACTGCTCTTCTCTGTGTCACGGAGGCTCTCCGCACTGCTAAAGCTAACTCTCCTCTGCTCTTGTCCTTCTAGACCTGTCTGCTCCCTTTGATACTGTGAACATTCAGATCCTCCTCTCCACCCTCTCCGAGTTGGGCATCTCCGGCGCGGCTCACTCTTGGATTGCGTCCTACCTGACCGGTCGCTCCTACCAAGTGGCGTGGAGAGAATCTGTCTCCGCACCACGTGCTCTCACCACTGGTGTCCCCCAGGGGTCAGTTCTAGGCCCTCTCCTATTCTCGCTATACACCAAGTCACTTGGCTCTGTCATATCCTCACATGGCCTCTCCTATCCTTGCTACGCAGATGACACACAACTAATCTTCTCCTTTCCCCCTTCTGATAACCAGGTGGCGAATCACATCTCTGCATGTCTGGCAGACATATCAGTGTGGATGACGGATCACCACCTCAAGCTGAACCTCGGCAAGATGGAGCTGCTCTTCCTCCCGGGGAAGGACTGCCCGTTCCATGATCTCGCCATCACGGTTGACAACTCCGTTGTGTCCTCCTCCCAGAGTGCGAAGAGCCTTGGCGTGACCCTGGACAACACCCTGTCGTTCTCCGCTAACATCAAGGCGGTGACCCGATCCTGCAGGTTCATGCTCTACAACATTCGGAGAGTACGACCCTGCCTTACACAGGAAGCGGCACAGGTCCTAATCCAAGCACTTGTCATCTCCCGTCTGGATTACTGCAACTCGCTGTTGGCTGGGCTCCCTGCCTGTGCCATTAAATCCCTACAACTCATCCAGAATGCCGCAGCCCATCTGGTGTTCAACCTTCCCAAGTTCTCTCACGTCACCCCGCTCCTCCGCACACTCCACTGGCTTCCAGTTGAAGCTCGCATCTGCTACAAGACCATGGTGCTTGCCTACGGAGCTGTGAGGGGAACGGCACCTCCGTACCTTCAGGCTCTGATCAGTCCCTACACCCAAACAAGGGCATTGCGTTCATCCACCTCTGGCCTGCTGGCCCCCCTACCTCTGCGGAAGCACAGTTCCCGCTCAGCCCAGTCAAAACTGTTCGCTGCTCTGGCACCCCAATGGTGGAACAAGCTCCCTCACGACGCCAGGACAGCGGAGTCACTCACCACCTTCCGGAGACACTTGAAACCCCACCTCTTTAAGGAATACCTGGGATAGGATAAAGTAATCCTTCTACCCCCCTTACCCCACCCCAAGGAAGGAAAAAAAAAAACATATTGTAAAGTGGTTATCCCACTGGCTATAAGAGCGTCTGCTAAATGACGTAAATGTCATGTAAATGTATTGAGGGGAGGATGGATGGGGCCATGTTTCGCGAGATCTTGGCCAACAACCTCCTTCCCTCAGTAAGAGCATTGAAGATGGGTCGTGGCTGGGTCTTCCAGTATGACAACGACCGGAAACACACAGCCAGGGCAACTAAGAGTGGCTCCGTAAGAAGCATCTCAAGGTCCTGGAGTGGCCTAGCCAGTCTCCAGACCTGAACCCAATAAAAATCTTTGGAGGGAGCTGAAAGTCCGTATTGCCCAGCGACAGCCCCGAAACCTGAAGGATCTGGAGAAGGTCTGTATGGAGGAGTGGGCCAAAATCCCTGCTGCAGTGTGTGCAAACCTGGTCAAGACCTACAGGAAACGTATGATCTTTGTAATTGCAAACAAAGGTTTCTGTACCAAATATTAAGTTCTGCTTTTCTGATGTATCAAATACTTATGTCATGCAATAAAATGCAAATTAATTACTTAAAAATCATACAATGTGATTTTCTGGATTTTTGATTCCGTCTCTCACAGTTGAAGTGTACCTATGATAAAAATTACAGACCTCTACATGCTTTGTAAGTAGGAAAACCTGCAAAATCGGCAGTGTATCAAATACTTGTTCTCCCCACTGTGTATATATATATATATATATATATATATATATATATATATATATATATATATATATATATATATACACACACACACACACACACACACAACCAGTCAAAAGTTTGGACACACCTACTCATTCAAGGGTTTTTTATTTTTACATTGTAGAATAATAGTGAAGACATCAAAACTATGAAATAAGACATATGGAATCATGTAGTAACCAAAAAAGTGTTAAACAAATCAAAATATATTTTATATTTGAGATTCTTCAAATAGCCACCCTTTGCCTTGATGACAGCACACTCTTGGCATTCTCTCAACCAGCTTCATGATGTAGTCACCTGGAATGCATTTCAATTAACAGGTGTGCCATCTTAAAAGTTAATTTGTGGAATTTCTTAATGCGTTTGAGCCAATTAGTTGTGTTGTGACAAGGTAGGGGGGGTATACAGAAGATAGCCCTATTTAGTAAAAGACAAAGTCCATATTATGGCAAGAACAGCTCAAATAAGCAAAGAGAAACAACAGTCCATCATTACTTCAAGACATGAAGGTCAGTCAATAAGGAACATTTCAAGAACTTTGAAAGTTTTTTCAAGTGCAGTCGCAAAAACCATCAAGCTCTATGATGAAACTGGCTCTCATGAGGACCGCCAAAGGAATTGAAGGCCCAAAGTTCCCTCTGCTGCAGAGGATAAGTTCATTAGAGTTACCAGCCTCAGAAATTACATCCCAAATAAATGCTTCACAGAGTTCAAGTTACAGCCACATCTCAACATCAACTGTTCAGAGGGGACTGTGTGAATCAGGTCTTCATGGTCGAATTGCTGCAATGAAACCACTACTAAAGGACACCAATAAGAAGAAGAGACCTGCTTGGGCCAAGAAACACGAGCAATGTACATTAGACCGGTGGAAATGTTTCCTTTGGTCTGGAATCCAAATGGGAGATTTTTGGTTCCAACCGCCGTGTCTTTGTGAGACGCGGTATGGGTGAACGGCTGATCTCCGCATGTGTAGTTCCCACCGTGAAGCATGGAGGAGGAGGTGTTATGGTGTGGGGGTGCTTTGCTGGTGATACTGTCAGTGATGTATTTAGAATTCAAGGCACACTTAACCAGCATGGCTACCACATCATTCTGCAGCGATACGCCATTCCATCTGGTTTGGTTTTAGTGGGACTATAATTTTTTTTTCAACAGGACATTGACTCAACACACCTCCAGGCTGTGTAAGAGCTATTTTACCAAGAAGGAGAGTGGTGGAGTGCTGCATCAGATGACCTGGCCTCCACAATCCCCTGATCTGAACCCAATTGAGATGGTTTGGGATGAGTCGGACGGCAGAGTGAAGGAAAAGCAGCCAACAAGAAAAGCATTCCAGGTGATGCTGGTTGAGAGAATGCCAAGAGTGTGCAAAACTGTCATTAAGGCAAAGGGTGGCTATTTGAAGAATCTCAAATATGAAATATTTGTTTAACACTTTTTTTGGTTACTATAATATAATAATAATAATATGCCATTTAGCAGACGCTTTTATCCAAAGCGACTTACAGTCATGCGTGCATACATTTTTTTGTGTATGGGTGGTCCCGGGGATCGAACCCACTACCTTGGCGTTACAATCTATCTGCAATATTAAAGCTGATCTACCCACAAAAAAATATTAAAATATATATTCTACACGTTCCAGATGAGCTCACAGCCTCAAACTGATGTTCTCAGGAGTGTAAATATTTGCTCTTGGTGTTTGTATGTGCACGTGCGTGCATGCATGAATACATGTGCACATGTGTATTCACACGTGTGTGTGTGTGTGTCTGTGTGTAATTGCTGTCAGATTGCAGGCCCATAGTAACAGCAGCATGGCTGTCTAACAGGCATTATCGTCATCATACTGTGGCCTCTACAGTCAGTCAGTGTATATTTATTTAGTACTGCAGACACCCTTCACTGTTCTGTAACACAGGGTGTATTTCTGTCTGGGTGTCAGCTTCACTGTCTGTTAAGAGAGGGATATTTGTAGTGTGTGTGTGTGTGTGTGTGTGTGTGTGTGTGTGTGTGTGTGTGTGTGTATGTCCGTGTGCACGGTCTGGCTCAGACACAGTTAACCAAGACATCATAGCTGTGTAATATTAAAAATGTCTGACAGTTCATCTATACACTGGAAAATAATTATGGATTCATAATTATAGATTCATTTCTGCACAGCGCAGTAACTATGCCAAATCTAAGACTTCTTCTAACACGTAGGTATTACAGGTTTTAAGTATCTAAAAAAAGTATTTAAAATTGATTGCAAAGCTCAACAAAGTCACTTGTAGATGATTTGAACATGAGGCGAGGAAAATGCTAATATCAGTCCCATGGCTTGAATGGTATTTGTGCCAGAAATGCTAAAACATTAGCATGGATTGCTGTTATACCTTGTCCATAGACCGCTTACAGGGTAAGGAAACCAATATGTAATTTTGTAATTTGGGTGAATTATGCCTTTAAATACACCCACACCCACTTCAATTTCAGATTCAATTCAATCAACAGGGCACTATGAGCAAGGTGGAGAGGGAGGAGTGTGTCGCTGTTTCCAAATCAAGTGTCGTAATTGATCAAATCAGTCCTATTCTTTAACCTGGGGGGCTATGGGGAGCGGGACAGCAGCTGTTGAACGCGTGTATGATTAAAACCGTGTTTGTGTTCCGGTCTCACACCCCTGAGACAGACACACAATGGTCTCTCTCTTCACCTCCCCGCCCCTCTTTCCCTCCCTCTCTTCCCCTTTATAGGAGATGGAGAGATAGAGAGCATGGCCCTTTCGAAATTGAATCACAGGCCTTATGTAGATCTCCAGAGTGGGTCTGAATGGGGTTGGAGATGGGGTAGCTGTCGGATAGAGATGTAGCTGGGAGATAGAGATGTAGCTGGGAGATAGAGATGTAGCTGGGAGATAGAGATGTAGCTGGGGGATAGAGATGTAGCTGGGGATAGAGATGTAGCTGGGGGATAGAGATGTAGCTGGGAGATAGAGATGTAGCTGGAGGATAGAGATGTAGCTGGGGGATAGAGATGTAGCTGGAGGATAGAGATGTAGCTGGGGGATAGAGATGTAGCTGGGGGATAGAGAGGTAGTGGGAAATAGAGAGGTAGTGGGAATACATAGGGCTCTAAATGGAAATATAGAGTCTATAATGGCAGTACCTGGATCAGTACAGTACACAGGGCTCTAATGGGGCTATACCTGTACCTACTATAAAGGCTGTACCTGGGTCAGTACAGTAAACAGGGCTCTAATAGGGCTATACCTATAGCTACTATAAAGGCTGTACCTGGGTCAGTACAGTAAACAGGGCTCTAATAGGGCTATACCTATAGCTACTATAAAGGCTGTACCTGGGTCAGTACAGTAAACAGGGCTCTAATGGGGCTATACCTACTATAAAAGGCTGTACCTGATGGATTAGGTGTCTTGTGGAAGGGCCGATGATTAGGGGCTGTGAAGTGATTGGTGAAGTTAATTGGACACTGAAGACGCTCTAGATTCTAGAATTCTAGATTCTAGTAGAGTCTAGAATAAGGACTGATTCTGAGGCAGTGATATACACAGTGCTCATATGGAGCTATGTTGTAAGGGCTGTACCTGAGTTAGAGAAGAGAATAAGAATCTGTAGAGGCAATAGTATAAAGACTGTACCTGGGTCAGATTACTATATCAAAGTCTTAATGAACAGATACATAAGGGCTGTATCTGGGTGGGTTGACTACATAGAACTCTGATGTGACTGTGGTAGAGCAGATTTCTAAAAGGATGTACCTGAGTCAGTGGAATAGACGCGGAAGCTCTTGTCCCAGAAACCACAGAGCAGGATGAAGCGGTTGTCTGCGGTGATGATGAAGCACTGCGAGTGGATGTGAATGCTCTGGTCCAACAGGTCTGTGATCTGACGACGGTGGGTCCCCACGTTACTGGCTGGAGAGGGGGGAGGAGGAGGGGAGGGGGGAGGGGGGGTGAGTGGAGGGAGGGGAGAGAGAGGAGGGGGGGGTAGAGGGGGAAGTTGGTAGACTGGTGTAGGGGGGGTGGATTGAGTGGGTGATGGTGGATTGGGGATGGTGGTTAGAGGTCAGCTGGAGGGGGTAGAGGAGAGGTGGTGGGCGGGATGGAGGGGGGGCGGTCTGGGTTTTTGAGGGGAGGTAGTGGGGGAGGGTGTGCCATGGGGTGTGGGGGGGAGGGGTGGGGCTAGTGGGAGATGCGGTGGCTAGATTTTGGGGTTGAGCGGATGGAGGGATGGGGAGGGAGGAGAGAGGGCTGTGGAGGGGGGGGGGCTCGGAGGGATTGGGGGGAGGGGTTCTGGGGGAGGTAAGGGTGGGGGGAGACGTGGGAGGGGGAGAGGGAGGAGAGGAGGGGGAGGGGATGAGGGGGAGAAGGAGGCGCTGGAGGGAGGAGAGAGGGGGGAGAGAGGGGAGAGGGAAGGGGAGAGGGGGAGGTGAGGGAGAGAAATATACAGACTGAGATGTTGTACAGTAATTCATTAAGTAAAGCAGGTAAGTCTGAGGAAAAACATATTGTATAAAATCTGTTAGTTTTCTTTTAAGATATCACCGCTTTAAATCGCTTTCACAAGGACATTAGACCATTACTGGAGCTACCAACTATGACATTTGTCACGCATGGCGTTTACTTACGGTCGTCGCCACGGCAGCAGCACCATTTTGATTTGTGAGGGAATACATAAAACATCTAGGACGTGGCGTTTACAAGGGTTTCACATTTTCCACTGGGCCTAAGAGTTTGAGTAACGATGAGCGTGCATATTCTCTCTCTCCCCAGAAGGAGAAGAGACTTCCTCGCATCGTCAGGACAACATAAATTAAATCCACTTTGGCCCCTTATCACTGAGTTGGAGGTTCGTTGGAGAGAGAGAGAGAAAGAGACAGAGACAGAGAGAAAGAGAGAGAGAGAGAGATAAAAGACTAAGAGATAACAGACTAAAACAAAGGCAGAGCCATGTCTGTTTTGGACTGATGCACTTCCTTGGCCTTGCAGATGTAGCCATCTATCATCATGTGCTTTGTAGTGGGTAAGATATTAAGATACGCTGCGCCAGTTTCCCGGACAAACATTAAGTCTAATCCTAAATCATTATTAGAATCTCCATTAAAAATCATTTTTAGTCCGGGACTAGACTTAATCTGTTTCCAGGGAACAAACAGGCACATTAGGTTCTAGACTTCTGTAACTTTATCCTCCCCTTCTCTCCTCTCTCTCTTCTGCTCTAACTCAAGATGAACAGGTGTGGGTCCGGCCCAGGCATCCCTGACAGAGACCAGCACGCCATGTCTGACGAATATTTCAACCAATTATCAACATTTCCCCCCGCCACGGCCGCCCCGCCAGTCACATACAATTTACTGTGTTTAAACTGAAGCTCCTTGTGGAATGTGAGAAGTATAAATACATAAATGACACGTTCAGAAAATATCACCCCACCACACGCATTATACATGTGATGTGGAGCGTGGGCTGGTGCTGAAAAATGACAAAATAGAGCTGTGAGTGAGTTGCAGAGATAGAATCAGTCGTCCATTCCGAGTGTGAAGAAAAAAATGTAAAAAAGTAGAGGGGCTTTTTGTTATTATTAAAAGATTGAATGGACTCAGAAATATGCATGCACATCTATGCAAGTGCCCATGTCACGTGTGCAACTAGAGGCGAAAAAACCCTAGATCACCTTTACTCCACACACAGAAACACATACAAAGCTTTCCCTCACCCTCCATTTGGCAAATCTGACCATAACTCTATCCTCCTGATTCTTGCTTACAAGCAAAATCTCAAACAGGATGTACCAGTGACGCACTCAATGGGGAAGTGATCCGATGAAGCGGATTCTAAGCTACAGGACTGTTTCGCTAACGTAGACTGGAATATTTTCCAGTAGGAGTTTACCACATCAGTCACTGGCTTCACTAATAAGTGCAAAGAGGCAAGCAACACTGAACCATGCATGAGAGCACCAGCTGTTCCGGACGACTGTTTGATCACGTTCGCCGTTGCCGATGTGAGTAAGATCTTAAAACAGGTTAACACTCACAAGGCTGCAGGGCCAGACGGATTACCAGGACGTGTACTCAGAGCATGTGCTGACCAGCTGGCAAGTGTCTTCACTTTAATACCTACATGTTTGAAGCAGACCACCATAGTCCCTGTGCCTAAGAACGCCATGGTAACCTGTCTAAATGCAACTGGATCCTGGACTTCCTGACGGGCCGTCCCCAGTTGGTGAGTTTGCCGACGACACAACGTTGGTAGCCCTGATCACAGACTACGATCAGACAGCCTATAGGGAGGAGGTCAGAGACCTGGCAGTGTGGTGCCAGAATAACAACCTCTCCCTCAACGTCAGTAAGACCAAGGAGCTGATCGTGGGTTACAGGAAACGGAGGACCGAAGAGGGCACGACAACGCCTCTTCCCCCTCAGGAGGCTGAAAAGATTGGGTATGGGCCCTCAGATCCTCAAAATGCTCTGATGCACCAAGTCTGGAACCAACAGAACCCTGAACAGCTTCTATCCCCAAGCCGTAAGATTTTAACCTTTTTGCACTAACTCCTTTGACTCATCACATATGCTGCTGCTACTGTTTATTATCTGTCACTTTATTCCTAGTTATATGTACATATCTACCTGAATTACCTCGTACCCCTGCACATGGACTCGGTACTGGTACCCCGTGTTTATAGCCAAGTTATTACCTCGTACCTCTACACATGGACTCGGTACTGGTACCCCGTGTTTATAGCCAAGTTATTACCTCGTACCTCTGCACATGGACTCGGTACTGGTACCCCGTGTTTATAGCCAAGTTATTACCTCGTACCTCTGCACATGGACTCGGTACTGGTACCCCGTGTTTATAGCCAAATTATTACCTCGTACCTCTGCACATGGACTCGGTACTGGTACCCCGTGTTTATAGCCAAGTTATCGTTACTCATTGTTTATTAATTCCTCCTGTTATTATCTTTCTATCATTTCTATTTTCTCTCTCTGTGTTGATGGGAAGGGCCCATAAGTAAGCATTTCACTGTTAGTCTACACCTGTTGTTTACACAGCATGTGACGAATACAATTTGATTTGATACGACACACACACACACACACACACACACACACACACACACACACACTGTATATGAAAAGGAGGGCCATAAAAGGGGAGAAATGGATCTGGATGAAGATGAGCGGGTGGGAATGGCATTTTAACTAGTCAACCGTTAGAGGAAAAATGTGTGTGTATGGACGAGAGCGAGAACGAGAGAGAAAGAGAGCTAGAGAGGGAGAGAGCGAAGACAAGGAGAAAATGAAAGAGGGGGTGAGAGAGAAAAGAAAAGGAGTGAACATTTGCGAGGGCTAGAGAGCAACCAGAGAGCAACAGAGAGAGGAAGAATGAGAGAAAACAAGAGAGGAGAGAGAGTACAATAAACGAGAGTGAGCTCTGCCTCTGACCACTCTCTCCCAGACAGTGCATCCTATACATCACTAGAGCTCTGCCTCTGACCACTCTCTCCCAGACAGTGCATCCTATACATCACTAGAGCTCTGCCTCTGACCACTCTCTCCCAGACGATGCATCCTATACATCACTAGAGCTCTGCCTCTGACCACTCTCTCCCAGACGATGCATCACTAGAGCTCTGCCTCTGACCACTCTCTCCCAGACCATGCATCCTATACATCACTAGAGCTCTGCCTCTGACCACTCTCTCCCAGACAGTGCATCCTATACATCACTAGAGCTCTGCCTCTGACCACTCTCTCCCAGACAGTGCATCCTATACATCACTAGAGCTCTGCCTCTGACCACTCTCTCCCAGACGATGCATCCTAGACATCACTAGAGCTCTGCCTCTGACCACTCTCTCCCAGACCATGCATCCTAGACATCACTAGAGCTCTGCCTCTGACCACTCTCTCCCAGACGATGCATCCTAGACATCACTAGAGCTCTGCCTCTGACCACTCTCTCCCAGACCATGCATCCTATACATCACTAGAACTCTGCCTCTGACCACTCTCTCCCAGACGATGCATCCTATACATCACTAGAGCTCTGCGTCTGACCACTCTCCTAGACGATGCATCCTATACATCACTAGAGCTCTGCCTCTGACCACTCTCTCCCAGACAGTGCATCCTATACATCACTAGAGCTCTGCCTCTGACCTCTCTCTCCCAGACGATGCATCCTATACATCACTAGAGCTCTGCGTCTGACCACTCTCCTAGACGATGCATCCTATACATCACTAGAGCTCTGCCTCTGACCACTCTCTCCCAGACAGTGCATCCTATACATCACTAGAGCTCTGCCTCTGACCTCTCTCTCCCAGATGATGCATCCTATACATTACTAGCACTCCGCTCCTCATCAACTCGTGAGTGATGAGAGGCACCCATATTGTCCTGACATCCACCCGCCGCGCATTCTCAATCACACATTATTACTCCATTCATATTCATTTATACTGACACACATCCTTTCCCCGGCTCAAATTAAACCAGAGAGAGAGGGGGAGAGAGAGAGAGAGAGAGAGAGAGAGAGAGAGAGAGAGAGAGGGAGAGCGAGAGAGAGAGAGGGATAGAGGAGAGGTAGAGAGGTTGATGATGAAATACCAGTCCGGGCCACAGCTCATTGCATTCCAATTTGCATGCAAATGGTTTAGCAGAGGAGAGAGCAGAGTGGAGGATTTATTTCAGGAGATGAGAGGACAGGGGGGTGGTGGTGGGGTGGCGGGCTGTTGTTGGGCAGAGGCTGAAAAACAACAGCAATCTGCTGGCCAGGGCCACTGCCATTGGTCATCACAATGAATCCCAGAGACACCCAGAGATACATACACACATACACTTACTCACTTTAATGCATATACACACACACGCAGTGACACCCGCAAGTGCGCACAGACACCACACACAAGTGACAGACCTATCAGAGGGTCGATTTCCACCGGCAGTTGGTACTGCTGGTCCTGCACCGAAGAGCCTTGATGACCTGAGAGAGAGAGAGAGAGAGAGAGAAAAGAGAGAGAAAAAGAGAGAACGAGAGAGCGAGAGAGCGAGAGAGAGAGAGAGAGAGAGAGAGAGAGAGAAAAAAAAAGAGAGAGAGAGAGATGGAGTGAGACGAAAAGAGAGAGGTGGGGGAGGAAGGAATGAGAGAGGGATGCAGAAAGAAGGATGGGTTTAATATCATAGTCATTTGGCCCTGTGGAGTACTTGGGCTTGTGTTCAATATGGGCAATGCTAAAACATAATTTGCCACACTCAAAGACTATTGTCCCCCAGAGTGCTCTACCAAAGCGATACATTTAGCTGTAAAACTGTTTTCTGTGACTCCAAATTGACTCTGATAATACATAGTAATACATAAACAAGTTAATAAGATAATATCGTGAATCCTTACATTTTAACTCTTTCTGTGACTCCTCTGGACATCCTTTATTAATACAGATTTATACCATAAACAAGTTAAAATAATGCAAATATCATAATTCAAGATCTAACTACAAACAATATCACATGAAATCAATTCATCACAACAAAATACTCCAAATTCAATGAGATCTACAAATCTTCATCGTCTTTGAGTTTCATAACTTCCGACTTCATCCCATATCACCTTCCCTGTTATTCCACAGCAGGATTGATGTTTAGTAAATAAACCATGAAGAGTGAGGTCTTGATGTATCAAAGTGGAAGTGAAACCTAACGCTTGCAGAGTGCACGTGTCACATTTGATCCTGCCTTTTAGGAGGACCGCTCAACTGTCTCAGAAATCAACGTCCTGTCCTGGGAAGATGAAAGAGACAAGCCTTTCGGCTGCTCTCGTTGAGATACACAAAGATAAATACTGACTAAAGGCCTTTAGATATGACACTGTGTGTGGACAAACATTTAGTCCTCAACTGTGTGCACCAAAATTATCTGTTTTGTGTACCATTCCTTGATGTGCTACATGAAATCAGACTTATGATCAAAAATAGTATATCCTTGATATCTCATATCCTACATATTAGTTGAATTTCAATGAATTGGTTAAATTTACATTTCAGGCCTGCTGACCACTACAAGATAATCCTACTTTAGACTCCATTTCCTACAATCCCCCTCTTACCGGCGAGGCCGTGCCACTTGTTGACGGCGAAGAGGCGGTTGGCGGTGACGGTGATGATGGCAGGCGCAGCGAGGCCCGGCTGGGTGTTGGCGGCCACGTGGGCCACGGGAGAGTTGCTAGGGAACTTCAACACCATGATGACATCCTGCTGCATCTGCTCCGTGAACATCAGGGGGGTCTGCAGGAGGACATACTGGTGATGATGGACAGATCAACGGACAGACGGAGGGAAGGAGGGAGAGGAGCAGAGAGGAGGAGGAGTCCAATGGAGCAGCGGAGGAGAGCACGGAGGATAAGAGGAACAGCAGGAGCAGCAGCAGCACGCAGAAAAGAGTGAAAGTGAGAGAGAGAGAGAGAGAGAGAGGGGAAGGGAGGAGAGGGACAGAGAGAAAGTTAGCTAGGAAGCTAGCATGGAGTAGCAGCACTCAGCAGCCAAGCTATAGGGAAGGAGGGCAGTTGGAGAAAAGCTGAGGCACTAAAAGCAGAGTACCATTATTCACATAATGCCATCGATTATAAGTCAGGGCAAGAAAAACAGACATAAGAAAACTATTTCTTAAAGACAAAGTTTGTGTCAATACTAAAGGAAGAACATGTCTTAGCATTGAAACGGAAGACAAACAAACGAATAGACAAAACGTAAGAGGAGAAAAATCCACAGGATTGGTATAGTGTGGGTGTATGTGTGAAATAGGGAATACCCTCGATGGCACAAAACTCCTCTGTGTAACTCCCTGTGTTAACGTTGTTATAGTGCTCCCTCCCTAACCCTCTCTATTAAAAGTGTCTGTAATGCCCACAGAGATAGATAGAGGACTCATCTTTGTATCTGTGTTGCATTATGGCATCTGTGGTTAGTTACAGCCATCTAAAGTGCTCTATCTATCTCTATGGTAACGCCTCATCAAATGTGGCACCATTAATAGCCTGTTAGTGAGGGCTGCTGGGTACTGGAGTCCTCCTCTAGTCTGACATACTACACCATCTGTAATGAATCAAGAGGCTACTAGTAGTTACTTGTACTGAACCTCTAAATAGAAGGACTACTGTACATGCTAGACATTATTTATCTATCTTGTACCAATGAGCAAAGTCAACATTCTTCCTCAAAATTCTCAGAATTTGCTCAGGTCTCTTCAGGAAATAGGCATTAACATGACAATGGTCAGACGTGAACTTGATACTTTTATCATTAGTAACAATCAGTCGCCGCATAAACGGTCAAATAAAAAGCCCTTTGTATCTATCTTCATATTAGAATGTTCATTTGTTGCAAGCTTTGTCAAGACACCGACACTCACTTTAAACGACGTGAGTTCAGTTCTACTGATAAGAGTTGTTTTTACTGGCTTGGCTCACACATATTATTCAGTGTGTGTCCCAAATGGCACCCTATTCCCTCCATATAGTACACTACTTTTGACCAGGTTTCTGGTCAAAGAAAGTGCACTCCACATGAAATAGGGTGCCATTTGAGACGCAGCATTTATTCAGACTGAGGAGCCATTTGCAGGATGCTTGTAGTGAGCCGGGGAACATAGTACACATGCATAACGTCAGAGGCCCACTGGGGTAAATCTCTGTTGTTTTAACAGTACTCTGACAACGTCATTACTGACCACCAACATGGGGAGATGCCAGGACTGGAGTCTGACACCACACTACACTCAGACAGGGGGAGATGGAGATGGAGGAGGGAGGGACGGGATACAAAGGTGGAGAAGGAGACAGTGGGAGAGAAGGAGACAGCAAAGAGAGGTGTAAAGAGATAGAAATGGGGGTGAGTCAGAGAGAGAGAAAAATTGCGAGTGCAAGGCAGAAAAAGCGAGAGAGAGAAAGAAACGAGAGAGAGAAGGAAAGAAGAGAGAGAAGGAAAGAAGAGCGAGAAGGAAAGAAGTCCCTCATCTGCTGCTGGTGTGAAGGGAAAGAGAAAGGTAGTGTGAACATCAGTCTGCCTCTCCAAACACACCAGGCCCACCTACCACCACCGGAGAGGCCAAACAATGAAATACAAGACACCTTTAACCACTTGAAAGTACGGACTCATGTGCACTCCTGCTCCAGTACTGGGGTCGAGTTTCCAATGGGTTTTCTCTGGTGTTGCCTTGGAAGTCAAAACCTCTCTTTTCTGTGTGTGTGTGTGTATGTGTGTACGTACATGTGTGTGCGTACGTGTGTGTCTCACCACAGGGAATTCAGGCCCTGCTCAACAACCTCGTTTATTTGTCTAGGAAAGTGTCTCCCCGTTTCTTCCCTCATTATTCTACTGCTCCTTTCTTCTCATCTCAGCAGCTCCTACTGTACCTCACTGTACTGTACCCTATTGTACTCTAGTTTACTGTACTGTACCTCACTGTACTGTACCCTACTGTACTCTAGTTTACTGTACTGTACCTCACTGTACTGTACCCTAATGTACTGTACCTCACTGTACTGTACCCTAATGTACTGTACTGTACCTCACTGTACTGTACCCTACTGTACTGTACCTCACTGTACTGTACCTCACTGTACCCTAATGTACAGTACTTCACCCTACTGTACTGTACTGTACCTCACTGTACTGTACCCTACCCTAATGTACCTCATTGTACCCCACCATACTGTACCTCACTGTACTGCACCCTACTGTACTGTACTACACCCTACTGTAATGAACCCTACTGTATAGTACCCTACTTTACTGTACTGTACTGTATCTCACTGTACTGTACCCTACTGTACTGTACTGCACCCTACTGTACTGTACTGCACCCTACTGTACTGTACTGTACCCTACTGTACTGTACTGCATCATACTGTACTGTACCCTAATGCACTGCACCCAAACCCTACTGTACATTACATTACATTTTAGTCATTTAGCAGACGCTCTTATCCAGAGCGACTTACAGGAGCAATTAGGGTTAAGTGCCTTGCTCAAGGGCACATTAACGTCATTTAGCAGACGCTCTTAGCCAGAGCGACTCACAAATTGGTGCGTTCACCCTATAGCCAGTGGGATAACCACTTTACAATTTGGGGGGGGGGGGGGGGGGGGGGGGGGGGTTAGAAGGATTGCTTTATCCTATCCCAGGTATTCCTTAAAGAGGTGGGGTTTCAAATGTCTCCGGAAGGTGGTGAGTGACTCCGCTGTCCTGGCGTCGTGAGGGAGCTTGTTCCACCATTGGGGTGCCAGAGCAGCGAACAGTTTTGACTGGGCTGAGCGGGAACTATGCTTCCGCAGAGGAAGGGGAGCCAGCAGGCCAGAGGTGGATGAACGCAATGCCCTCGTTTGGGTGTAGGGACTGTACTGTACTGTACTGCACTCTACTGTATTGCATTGCAGCCTGCTGTACTGCACCCTACTGTACTGCACTGCACCCTACTGTACTGCACCCTACTGTACTGTACAGCACCCTACTGCACTGTAATGTACTGCACCCTACTGTACTGTACCCTAATGCACTGCACCCTACCCTACTGTATTGCATGGCCTACTGTACTCCTTGCACCTACTGTACTGCACCGCACCGTACTGCACCCTACCGTACTGCACTCTACCCTACTGTACTGCACCCTACTCTCCTGTACTGTACCGTACTGCACCCTACAGTACTCTACAGCACCCTACCCTACTGTACTGCACCCAACCCTACTGTACTGTACCCTACTGTACAGCACCATACCCTACTGTACTGCACCCTACTGTACTGTACAGCACCCTACTGCACTGTAATGTACTGCACCTTACTGTACTGTACCCTAATGCACTGCACCCTACCCTACTGTACGGTAACTCTACTGTATTGCACTGCACCCTACTGTACTGCACTGCACCCTACTGTACTGCACCCAACCCTACAGTACTGTACTGATCCCTACTGTATTGTACCCTACTGTACTGTACCCTACTGTACTGTACTCCACCCTACTGTACTGTTATATACTGCACCTTACCGTACTGTACAGCTCACGACCGTCACAAGACATCACAGTGAGGGATGTATTGCAAAAGGAAATAGCAAAATGGCCTTATACTGGGAAAGATGGGTTAATCTGTGGACATCAGAGGGCTGGAGTTAAGATCAGAATGAATGGTGGATTGGCCGCTGTGGGTGATAATCCAGCACTTGCAGAGAGAGGAAATTAGGAATATATATATAATTATTTAACTACATGTACTGTACATGTGAGCAAAAAATAGCTGTAAGTAGCAGTAGAAGTATTGTTTTCCATTAAATGTACTCCAATCAGGGAGGGATGGTACGGTAGGGGGAAAAATATAAAGAAATAAAAAATCTAAATTAGGTGGATTAGAAATTATGCAAACAATTAATTTGATAGAACCCACAATATATCTGCAATATTAAAGCTGATCTACCCCTGCATTTTTTAAAGTCAACATTTAAAAAAAGACCTGGGTTCAAAAACCATTTGAAATAATTTAAATACTTTACCTGTGCTTGATTGAGCTTGCCTGTTGCAATTGAAACAATAGGAAAGTCCCAAAAGTGCAAACCTCACCCACCTGGCACTCCAGGCAGGCAAACGCTAAAAGTGTTTGAAAGATTTCAAGTGGTATTTGCACCCAGGTCTGGGGGAAACCCTAGACCCTAAACCTGTGCATGAATGTAGCATTATTTGGATTTGCGGTGAGGAACTAATGGGGTGTTTGGTAAACATGGGTGGCGTATGGGCAGCGGTATGTGCGTGTGTGTTTGGGTATATGTGTGTGTGCCAATGGTCTCCAGCTGTCAGCACCACAGGGCCACCGCGCTAATGGGGGCTCTGGGGGGCTCAAGTCGGCACGTCACCCGCCTCACCCCCTCTTCCTGCCCCTTAAAAGCCTGTCACCTTTAGGCCATTGTTCCCAGCCGGTCCACCTCCCTCTGGTTCTCCCCTGGTCCCCCCGTCTGTCTATGTCTGTCTAAGGTGTAGAGTGGGAGTTTGGCTCAGGACCATGTTTCCACAGTGCTAATCCATTCACCCTCATCCGCCACACCTACAGGTCCCACGTCAGCACAGAGGGACGAGAAAATAGAGGGCTCTGGTGAGCTCAAGCGGACAGTCATACCATACTAGCACCGACAGCATTTAATACCTACAGTCAGACAGTCATTAAACACTAGCATCAGACAGTCATTTAACATACTCAGCAGAGACAGTCATTTAACATACTAGCAGTCGACAGTCATT